AACTGAGTAAAAGAGTAAGAAAACTTCCTGATGATGGTCATAGAGGATAGAGTACTGTTGTCTATATATAATGCATATGGGTCTACTTTGAGGTCCATTAATCTGGAAAAGTTCAAGATTTTTTACTCATATGGGATTGTTAAGTTTGGCAAGCAAGGGTTGGGGTTTGGTTGAATTGGATTTATCCAATGTAATGGAGTTGACGAATGCTGGGGAGGCTGCTATTGCAGAAGCTGAGAACTTGGAAAAGTTGTTGATGGCAAGGTGCAAATTGGTATCAGATATTGGGATTGGGTGCATTGCTGTGGCAACTTGTTTGCTGGTAACTTGTTAGTTAACTTCAAATATAAATTTCATATAGGTTCTACTGTCTTGGTACTCTAGTCATTTATTAATTAATGATGCTCCATTAGAGGTTCTAGAGGGGATGCTAAAGAAAGTTTAATTACCTTATTGGTTTCAGCTTTAAAGATTCCTGGATTAGCTTGTGCTTTTGTTTATAAACCAAGTAAATAAGCAACTGTCAGTGCAGATAAATGACAGAGGGATTATGTACTCAATTTGATTTATTTTTATATGAAGTTTTTGTTCACTGTGATCACATAATTGGCAGACTGGCGCAGAATCATCATGCATCAGTTTTGATAATGAAAAATGTATGCTACTTACAGCTACTGAAGAGTTATTTTACAATCATCATGTGGCTGAATCATATATCTCTACTTTNATCATTTATCTCTACTTTGCAGGGAAAGCCAGAATTCGGGAAGTGGAGGACCAAATTTTGTTCTAGATATGATGAGATGGAGACAATATTAGGCAATGATGCAACAACTGGATATGCAAGCTATGCTACGCTATATACACAGAATCATGTGAACGGGCAATTTTTGTACATATTGGATGAATAGTTTTTGGTTGTCTCCCTAGAGCTGGATGTAGTTTTTGAAAAATGGTTCTTTTTGTTGATGGATTTTGTAGCCCAGATGATTTATGTGTAATGGGAATATATCATGCAACTTTGGGATGTCTATTTCCTGTGGGTATTAATTTGGGAAACAATGTGGGTTGTCGTTTCTTTTGTATTCTATATGAAGGTTCCAATATTGAAAAAAAAAACCAATAAGTTGTAGTTGGAAAAGATGGTTTAGGGTGAAATATTATTTTTCTTATATGAAGAAAACTCACTATTGAAAAAAATGCAATCCACCTTTGTGTCTTATCTGAAGAATCTTACACATGTGAGACATTATTTTTCTTTACACTATTCAATTTTAAACCATTTTTAAACATTATCTTTTGTTCATGGATTGTTGGACAATATAAATGGCTATGCAACATTATGCGACAACAAGTGGAAGGAGATGGATGACAATGTTGTTGGCAATTTGCATTTAGCATTGGCAAATATATTTTTGTCAAGTGTCGCAAAAAAGATGACAAAAGAGAGATGAGATACTCGGACAAAATTGTACGAGGCCAAGTTACTTGACACTGTCACTAAGATCTTCCTAAAAAGGAGACTACACTTTTTGAATGGCGGAACTTGCATTGTGACAGATCACATTAACTCGCCTAATACGTTATTTTTTCAACATTTGGAATCGAGGACGTTGAACGTGTTGAGGTCCTACTACAAGATATGTCAGATTTGTATGATCAACTCATTATAAATTGCCTTTTAACACTATTGCATCTGCCATTATCGAAAAAGAATGAAGATGCAAAAATTAGGAGATAAGCAAGGCTGTTACAACAAGTTGAGGCCTCACCCATAACAAGGTAGGGATGGCAACAGGGCAGCCTCCCTCGTCCCCCGCCCAAACGAGCTAATATCCTGCCTCGTTATCCGTTTAAGGAGGGGCGGGGCGGGGCCCTTGCCTCGTTTACTACCCGATTTTTTTATATATAAATTTTTGATAATTCATTTTATTTTCCCCATTCATTAAAGTAAGATAATAATATATTTTTTAAGTTTTATATATTTTTAAAAGTTAAATTATTCAAATATATTTGGTAAATTAAGACTTTTACTGTTTTTCATATTTTTTAAATAATCTTAATTGCCATTTTTTATTAGAACTAATGAAATTTCGTGAAATTTTTCATTTAAAGTATTGGATTCTAAAAAAAATAAAAAAAAATTAAATGGGACAAGATCCATGAGTATCGAGTTTGTTGAATTTTTTTGTCATCCCTATAGCAAGGGGTAGATTAACAAATTGTGTCCCAGTGGAAATTACAATTCAAACAAGTCAAAATCGTGAAGAAAGAAGAATGCTAAATGCTAAGTTTGTGACAAGGAAATGACATCTCAAAAAGGATTGTTTTTTTTTTTTTGATCGATAAATAATTAATTAGAATAGAAACCATCAAAACAATGTACACCATCACCGGGCATACCCGGGTAAATCAACAATGTAGCAACATCTCAAAAGAGATAGGAAATACAAGCACAATGGCCCAACCCAAAAGAAAAATACAAAAGGACTCAACCCATAACAAGAGATTCATAACAAACCAAGACATTTGGATACAAATTAAACATAACTTTGTATACATTTGTCTTGATTCGTCTAACAATGCTATCCACATTAGGGGGTAGATTTTCAAAAACCAACCTGTTTCTCGTCAACCAAATGTAGTACACAGTGCAAGCAAGGCCTATCCTCTTAGCTTTATTTCTCCATGATGTGCCTCTAGCTTCCTTTTTCGTCCATTTGATCGCACTAGCAACAGTTGTCATTACTCTAGTAATACCAAGCCATTCCTTAATATTCTGCCAGATAATAGCCGTAAATGAACATGTGAAAAATAGGTGCTGACAAGTTTCTTCACAAGAGTCACAAAAACTACAATTTCTATTAATGTCCAGAAATTGTAACTTATCTTTCGTAAGGAGCTTTGATTGGGCTCCCATCCAAAGCACAAAGGAGTGCTTAGGCGTAATGTAGTGCTTCCATACCTCCTTCGTCCAGTCCCTAGGAGTAGCTTTAGGTCTGAAGAAATCATAAGCCTTAGACACACAAAAGCCATCCTGGAGATTACCGGAAGTCTGTTCAAAAGCATGACTATGGTGGTCTGGCCGAATCTGCCCAGAATGTTGCTGAAGGAGAATCGTGTTTCTGATTTCCAGCAACATTTTAAACAACGATGAGTGGTCCTTGCGTAGAGCAATATCCCGGATACACATGCCTCTGATATACACTTGGTTCACCCATCTGATCCATAGAGTATCTTTCTTATGGTGAATATTCCATAAGTCTTTAGTTAGGAGAGCAAGATTCCAACTCTTTAAGTCCCTGAACCCCAGTCCGCATTCATTCTTAGGTAAGCATAAGTTTTTCCAAGCAATCGAGGATTTTTTCGACCCCCATAAGAAGTGACGACAAAGGCTTTGAATTGTCGAAATAATAGTTGCTGGGATAGGCAATAGGGATAACCAAAAACACTCAACTCCCTGAAGTACTGCCCTGATCAACTCTGATCTGCCCGCATAAGATAGGGATACATGTGTCCAAGCATTAATATATGCAACAATCTTATCCAGAAACGGTGCATAGGAGCTCACCTTAAGTTTTCCCGAAGCAAGTGGGATACCAAGGTACCTAAAAGGCATTGTGCCCTTAGGAATGTTAGTCACCTCTTGAATTTCATCAAGTTCCAAACCATGTATCCCTGCAGTGAATAAACTGGATTTCAAATTATTCATATACAGACCCGAAACCTCCCCAAACTTATAGAGGCAATCCATCAAAATGCGCACTGAACCAGTATCTCCCCTAGCAAACAACATGAGGTCATCAGCAAAGGCCAGATGAGTAATCTTGAGAGGCCCACATTTAGGGTGATAATTAAAATCACTATCCCTTGTATTAGCATTGATCAATCTAGACAAGTACTCAATACATAATACAAAAAGGAATGGTGATATGGGGTCACCCTGCCTTAAACCTTTATGCCCTTTGAAAAAACCATGAATGCCCCCATTCAAAGCCACAGAAAACGCAGTAGTAGAAACACATTCCATAATCCAACCAATAAACTTCTGGGGGAATTGTAGTCCCACAAGAACTTGTCTTAGAAACTCCCAATCCACTGAATCAAAGGCCTTGCGTAGGTCAACCTTAAGTAGGCATCTAGGTGCCACCCGCTTACGGTTATATTGTCTCATAAGCTCCTGTGCTAGGTGAATATTTTCCAACATGCTTCTTCCCTCCACAAAAGCAGACTGGGCTTGGTCAATAATGCTACCCAAGATCGGTTTAAGTCTAGCCGCAAGAATCTTTGCAATGGTCTTATAGAAAACATTACAGCAAGAGATGGGCCTGTAGTCCCCCACTTCAGTACTATGACTGGACTTAGGTACCAATGCAATTACTGTGTGATTAACTTGCTTCAATAATGCTCCCGTGTTAAAGAATTCTATGATGGCTTCAACAAAGTCATCCCCAACTGTCTCCCAAGCTTTTTTGAAAAAACACGCAGTGTATCCATCTGGGCCAGGAGATTTGTCATCTTCAATATCGAAAAGGGCCTTTTTCACTTCAAGGGAAGAGACATCCCGAATTAGTATGTCCCCTTGCTCCGAGTTAACTAGTGGACCATCTCTAAGTATATTAACATCCACTGGTACATGATGGCCGCATTCACCGAGTAGAGATTTATAATAGTTGGTAAATTCAGCAGCCACTTCTTCTTGTGATGTAGTCAAACTACCATCTGTTCTATGTACTTTAGCAATAAAGTTCCTCCTAGTGTTTCTCTTCATCATGGCATGGAAAAATTTAGTACACTTGTCACTATTTATGAGGTACTTACATTTAGCCAGTTGAAAATAGAAGCTGCGTTCCGCTTCACACAATCCCATGGCTTTTTTCCTCAGTTCAGCCACCACACATTGCAGGTGTTGGTCGTGGGGTTGATCATGTAGAAGTCTTTGCCCATTTTCCAGCTCAGTTTTAGCAGCATTAACTCTGGAAGAAATGTGCCCATAATGTTTCGTATAAGTGCCTTCAACACAATCTTCAGATTCTACAGTTTTTTGCAAAAAACAAACTATTTTGTTCCCATATACCCACTGGACCAACCGTAATGCACAATATCCCTAAAATCCTCATGTGCAGTCCACATATTAAAAAATCTGAATGGCCTCCGATAACTGTTCTATCCATCAAATATAGAGACAATACCTGGAGAGTGGTCAGATACGTAGCCAGAAGGAGGGAAATCCACCCATCCCGGATAATCACTTTGCATCCATACCTCATTGACCATGACTCTGTCAAGTTTGCTCCAAACAGAATTGTTTGTCCAGGTAAAATAGTAACCAGTAGACCTGAGGTCCGAAAGCCCCATTTGTAAGCAACACTCAGCAAAATCACATATTTCATAAGGTGTAACCCCCAGACCGTTGCTTTTCTTCTCAAACTTAAGAACATTATTGAAGTCCCCCAACAAAAGCCATGGTACTAGAACATTCATGCCCATTAAGTTATTCCACAGTGGTCTTCTGGAGATAATGGAATGAAGACCATAGACGAAACTAACTTGGAAAGCATGAGACGAAACCTTGCATATAGCCTTACAGTGTATGACTTGCTGAGTGTATTCCTCCACTTCCAAAAGTCACCTTCAAGGGATTCCAAAGTATCAAAATTCTACCAGCCTCATGCAGGCTGAAATTATTAACTTGCATCCATCCCTGAAACTTGTTCCTCATAATATGTTTCAATTTATTTTCAGAATGTTTAGTTTCCAATACTCCCATTACGTCAATGTCATTCTTTCTAATCAAATCCCGAACCTCGTTTTGTTTCAGGGGAAGGTTCATGCCCCTGATATTCCATGCTGCTAACTTCATGAGGTTGAAGCATGGGATTGCCCCATCTTCTTAGGATTTTTATGAGTTTTCGCCTTTTGCTCACCCTTAGTGGCCTTTAAGTAATCATTCGAGATGGATTTAATATCAGAAGCCTTAGAAGGGGTTTCTTCTCCTAAATCTTTAAAGGAACTCTTCTTTTTTTATCCTTTCTTCTTCTTACCAACTTCAGTGAAGCTACTCTCATTTCCATCAATAGGCTGAACAGTATGTTCTTTATCTGTCTTCTTTTCGTCATTACCCTTTCCACCCTCCTTTTCAGAATGTTTTCCTGAATTATCGTTCTGACTAGTACACATATCAATTCCAGCTATGTTAGTATTCCGGTTTTCACCAGATTCCGTCTGTTTTGTATCTACCTGGGCTGTCTCAATACTAGCAGCTTTGCTTGCCTCCTCCACTGCTGTTATTAAGGAATCCTGCTTCTCTGGGTTTGTGGAAGCATCATCCACTTTGGCTTCTACAGTGTTCACCGTAGCCTCTCCCTTGCTGTCGATCTTATATTTACACCCTCCCAAGGAATGTCCAAACACTTTACAATTATTACAGAACTTAGGCTCTTGTTCATAAATAATCTCTTGTTGTCTAACATTTCCATTTGGGAGTCTGATCTTGACAACCCTTACTAAATCCTTAGATGCATCCACCTCCACCAAGGCTCTAGCAAAGGAAATTCTATCCCTTGAGACAGTAATTTTATCGGTGGAAATAGGAGTACCTACTTTAGATACAATTTTTCCTAGAACTTTAACATTCCACAGTTCTAAAGGTAACCCAGGCATGTTAATCCATACAGGCATTAGACTAACCCCTTTTTCATCAAATTCAAATAACTTAGGCATCACCTTAAGAGTTAGGTGCCTCCCAAACACAAAGTATGGTCCTCCATGCAAAACACTTAATCTTTCGGCATCTGTTGCAAACTTAAAGATCAGCCAGCCACTAGCATGTACACAAAATTTATATTTAACTTTCCATGTATCGCATAGTTTAAGCAAAGCATTTTTCCCAGGAAATCTGCCAATAAAATAGCCTATGAGGCCAAAACCCCAAGTATCCTCTACATTATCAATTTCATCATCAGAAACAAATACCTCTCCATCAGTATGGTTGAATGTCTCAAGTTTAACATTATCATCCATATTTCTGTTACCTTTGAAAAGATTAACCCAAGGAGCTCTATCTCCCAGTTTGTTTCCCTCCTGAGCTTCCTTACGTACCTCTGTGGGTTTCCTCACAGATTCATCCGAATTCGTATCGTCAGTACCCAGTGTGCATGATACGCTTGGGGATTTGGGGTTTGGTTCAGAGCCATCATCTCCTACCTCCAGTAACCCTTTAACCTCCTTTAGGCTATCCTTCAATCTATCCACCAAGGCCGAAGAAGGTAAAGCACCCCCATCCCTGCCTTTCGAAGTACAGCCATCCATTGCTGCCTTAGGCCCTTTACGAGACCCAGATTGCTTCAGTTTTTTCTTTTTACCCATGGAGTAAAAGAAAAATAGTTAGTCCCAAAAATCGAAATCAGGAGCCCCTGTGACCAACTCGTCCAGACCCAAAATAAAACGAGATCCACAGCAGAAAAACCAGAAACCCAGCAAACAACACCACCGAAAAATCTCAATCGCCCACAAGAGACAGTAGATCGAGAGACACCAAAGCCCAGAGAAACTAACCTTGTCCCTAGGAACTCCCCAGAAGTCCCTACGCAGAAAAGGGGAGAGAAATCGCGATCGAAGATCCAAATGCAGAACTTTACGTATTCCTCAAAATTTAGGGCTTACGAAAAATCAGTGCGTAAGATAGAAACCCAGTAGATAATCTCACCCAGAAGACCAGAAATCACCAAAAGAGAGGTGAAATCAAAGCAAGAAAAGAACGAATAGTCAGAAAGTGAGCAAATACAGTGGGAATTTCTCTCACTACATTCGAGAGCGTCTCTCTCTAACTCACACTAGTACGACTGAGAGCTCTTTCTTCTTAAAAAGGATTGTTGCTTTTAACTAGAAGATAGTAGATAACAAAGCTTCTGAGGCGTCAAAATCTCAGGGGTTGATTGCAAGTACGATGCAGAGGTAGTGAAGACTGTTACTGAAAGTAGAAATCAATTTACTGACATCTTACTTTTAGGGTCCGTTTGATTGTAAGGGTGAAAAATGGGTGGAAAGAAAATGTTTTACAAGGAAAAGATTTGCCTAGAAAATGTTTTGCAGGGAAAATGATTTTAAGTGTGTTTGATTGGTATAATTTTCCACCCGGAAAATTTTTAAATTTTCTATTCGTTTGACTTTATTTTACATGAAAATTGTCCATTAAAATGATAATTTTTTCCACAATTGGTTATAAAATTTGTTTCCATTGTCAAAAAGTAAAAAAAATGAAATTTTTTATTTTTCCTAAAAAATCATTTTTTTAATCAACGTTTAGTGTTCGTTTGACTTTGTTTTATACGAAAATTATCCATTAAAGTGAAATTTTTTTGACAATTAGTTATGAAATTTGTTTCCATTACAAAAAATTAAAAAAAATAAAAAATACGTGAATTGGGAAAATGAATTCATTTTCCCCAAAAACATGGCAAATAGGCGCGTGGCCTCTCCTCGAAGAAAATCAATTCCCTTCCTTTTTTGGCTCATCAAACATTTTTTTCTTGGAAAATAGAAAACCTTTTCCCTTTTCCAAAGAATTTGTGTGTATCAAACACAACCTTAGATTTATTGGTTGTGACGCCCCTTAAAGGACACCACAAAAAATAATCTACTAGCTAATGCTCGCGTAATTTTTTTTCTCGATATTGATCCCAATTAAATTTCACATTCCTACTGTAAGGTAAGGTATATCAATTTCACTTGAATAAAATAAGAGCACAACTAATAACGTGCAATGTCAATGTGTTAATTTGTCATAAAAAACGTACCATAATCGAACATTATTATGGGCTTAGTGTTTACAAAAATTAAAGAATCCAATGATCAACTTGACGTAACAAAATAATAGTGTTGTACTAAAACTATCAACAACTTACCTTTTTTACATATATAAGATTGTAGTATTATAGGGTTATGTACTTAATTAGTATTATTCCGATACATTAAGTAATATAACAATTCTGTATAATGCTACAATATCCAAGTATAATGTCCTAAGTTGGTTGGTATTTCATGAAATAGCATTAGGAATGATTGCAGCAGCGGTACCGAATATTTCATTTGTGTCACCTTCGGTACCAAACATTTTAAATGTTGCAGTTGGAGTCGTGGATGAAAACTGTTAGTTTTACCTTTAGATGACCAAAAATCAAAAGTCTGACCAAAAGTTGACTAATTTTAAAAGGGTAAAAATGTAATTTTATATTCTACATATAAAATAACCCACCTACCTACCCCAAAATCAAAAACCACCAACTTCGCTGTTCCCCCCGCCACACACCTACCTCCACCTCTTCCGAGTTCCTCTACTTGGGTACACTAGTCAGCTCTCGAAATGCAAATGTTGGCTCCGTCGCCACCCAAAATGAAAAGAACACCCATGCAGGCATTTCGCTAGATTACCAGAGGTTGGGATCGTTGGAGCTCCACCCTCTCCCGCCCCTGCCACGTTAACACTCTCACCAAAATTACAAAGATGCTATTGCAAACAACCCTCGTTCTTTTTATTCTTCCTCAGAAGAAAATGAAGAGTTTTTTTCACCAAGAGGGTCCACACGAAACAATGCTAGTGCATTTCACACGAGGTCATCCCCTCCTAAAAGCTTAAACCCAATTAATTTGAACTCTCCATCTCATTCTTCATCATCTGATAATAGCCCATCAGTTGTGCTGAATTCCAGTAGCCTTAGGAGCATAGCATCAAAATCACCGAATAGCTTACTCAATTTTCCAGCTTCTTTACTGCGTTATATCCCATCGCCTCCACCCCGGGAGCCGAGGGCATATACACCATTTTTGCCTTCATCGTCTGAGGATGGGGCCCGTAATTCCTCGCCTCGGAGTTTTGAGTTTTTGGGTATTAGAAGAGGGCCAACCCCATCCCGTCCTCCGCCTCCACCGTTACCACCATCACCACCACCAAGGAGACGCACCAGGAAGAAAATGGAGGAGTTTAAGAACGACAAAAATGGAGTTTGTGTTGATGCCGACGAAAAATTGGGTGGTTGTGTTCGGGGTGGTATATTCAGGGTTTTGGCGAGAGGTAGATGGTGTAGGCGAAGAGGATAATGGCGGCGCTGGGATTTTGGTGGTTTTTGATATTAGGTTTTGGGGTGTGGGAAGAAGATGAACGGTGTTTTCTTCTTCTTTTTTAACTTAATCTTTTGTTTTAGTTATTTTATATGTAAAATAAAACCTTTTTACGCTTTTAAAATTAGTCAACATTTGGTCAAACTTTTGATTTTTGGTCAACTAACTATCAAATTAATAGTTTTCATCCATTTGGACTTCAGCTGCGACATTTTGAAAGGTTTGGTACAATGGGTGGCACAAATGAAAGATTTGGACAAAATCTGCTACTTAATGGAAGGTTCGATACAACATCATGCTTCATAGTACAATGAGGGAATCGATACAACATCATGCTAATAAATTTGTGCAGAAAATAAATAAATGAACTAGGTTAGCGAAATGTTAGTTAACGTAAGATTAGGCTGTTATCATAGTTGAGTAGTTAACGAGATTAACGGGAAATTAGTATATTTACTAGCCGAGTAGAACTCCAAGATACATTTGCATCATTGACGTACAAAAGGCTCGTATATTCAGTTGGGTGTAGAAGACAACAAGTGGCGATTAAAAGATGTTCCTATAGAATTCACAAAACATACTGGACAATCCACATCTTTATGCAAAGGAAAACCACCACTATGGTCATAACTAAAAGTGATCTCCCGCATCTTAGACTATAAACATCTGTACATATAAAAGATATGTCACTAGTACGGTAACGTTCTATAACTTTTCAAGTCTTGATGTATCCAGATAAACCCGAGCGACATGACAGTATAATCTTATGTCAACTAACTTTTCGCTAACCAAGTTCATTTATTTATTGTCTACGCAAATTTATTAGCATGATGTGCCGATTCCTTAATTGTACTATGGTATAACTTATAGCATAATATTATTTCATAATACCAAGTTATGACATTATACTTGGATATTGTAGGATTATACAGAATTGTTATATTACTTATCCCATGTTTGATTCCCAAAAAAAAAAATAAAATTTGAAAAGTATTTTTTGGAGAATGTATGGTTAAAAAGTTTTTGGTTTACGTGTAGAATATTTTATTGTGTGGTTGAAAATGATCATGTAGCAAAATTTAAAATAAATTAAAGGACGTCAAATAAGGGATTAATTAGTGTGTGAATAATACTAATTAAGTATATAACCCTATAATACTACAATCTTATTTAAAAAAAAAAAAAACAGATACAGGGAGCAAAGGCATCTGTTGCATCAACCAATGATGGAGAAGAGTCAACAATGATGTGGCTTTGCAAATTGGGGCAAACCTTGATGCTTGGCCAAGAACCACGTCTGACAACATCCAACTTGAGGCACTTCAATAAGCCGTCTATCCAAGTAATTGCAATGTAGCAACTTGGTGATGTTCATTTCAATGTTATTCAGGTTCTAGATTTAAATTTCAAGAGGTTATCTATTGCAGTCATTGATTCATGGTTTGGACAGGTATCATTACGCCATAGCCATAAATTATAGGAAGAATGAGCTTGAAGAGAAGATGCTTCTAAATCTTCAGAAAAAGAAATGGACAGATGGATTGTCCCTGCAGCATTTTGATGACCATTCGAAAACAAATGAGTAAACATTTCAGTTACTTTTGGAGGGTTGCCTGACATTCTGTGGTTAGGGTTTGTCTGTCTGGTTGTTTTTCAGCTCATGTTTGTCTTCACGAGCAATGCTGAAGTGGAGATGTTTCTATCAGTATAGTCAGCATACTCGATATTTTCGAGATCAAGAACTGACTTCTCTAGGTTGAGAATCAGTGCCACGTTGCTCTTAAATTCACAAGAATATGATGTTAGAATGGATCTAGTTTTGTGATATTTAGTTGAAAAATAGATAGAGTGATACTGCCTTGTTTGAGGTTATCCTAGCTCCAAAACAGACATTTTTGGGACTGGAATAGGATGATTTTATGGCTGAAAACAATTTTTTTTCTAAGTTTATACAGTTGGGGTAGTAGCCCCCATGGTCTTTATCTACTTGGCATTGTTACCCTAAGATAAGATTTTGAAAATAATGACAAAATTAACCTGAGCACCTTTTTGTAATACCTTGGCTGGATGGACAACATGGCCGACCTTGAGATTTTGGGTGCCCTGTGTGATATTTTTAAATGGGTCCATTTTTTATAAATATTGTGCCTTTTTAACTAACATAATAATTTCAACTTGTTATACATAATGGTGCCTTGGCTCGGGTGCGCCGATTGATTAGTCAATCTCATATATTTCTAGTTTTAGTTTCTATTTAAGATACCTTAGATTATTTGATAAACCCTAAAATATACAAGCAATAGCAACTCGTGGTAAAACCAGAGGTTATATGACCTTTTTTTTTATATCTATGGATGACATCTCTCTGCTAGATACACCTTGCTTGTCCTAGTATGATCTCTTTTCCACTCTATTGTACTCATTCAAGCAATTCCTGTTTGGCTTCAAATTCATAGGTGATGCTAAATCTAGCTATCAAGTACAATAAAGAAGTTCAGGAAGAGGATGAATTGCCCCCGGAAAAGTTAGCTATTGCTAATGTGGGAAGGCAAGATGCGAAGAAGCATCTCGAGGAGCATGTATCTAACTTGATGTCACGATGCTAGACACTGTTGTCTTCTAGATTCAATGTCTCGGGGTTGCTTAAACTGAATTTGATGTATGGTTTGTTTTTTCTTGGATTCAATCAACACTTTTCAATGTGAGAGTTCAACTATCTAATATTTGATACTTTTTCTAACTTGTCATGTCTTCCTTCGTGTAGCATAGATTATGTTTCCCTGTTCTTTATTCTGGTCGAAATAATTGCACCAATTTGACTATGAAAGGCTTTTTGCCTGGTGATTTTATGGGGGCAAACTATTAAGTCTGACTTTCAGATGTATCGAAGGGATGCCCACAAGGGCCCCAACTCTAATACGAAGAGTAAATTTTTACGAGGAAATTACATAATTCCAGGGGTTTGAAGATTGAAATTCAAAAATCAAGGACTAAATTTCATTATTCAAAAACTAGGTAATATATAAAACCCCTAACCCTAATTTTTACCTCTCTACTCCCTCCCCTCTCTGTCTCTCGCCTCCTCTCCTCCCTCCCTTCCATGTCTCTCGCCCCCTCTCCTCCTTTCTCCCAATCGGTGGCGCGAGGGCATCCCATCGGCCTCCGTTTATCGCAAAAGCACTCTTAGTTATTCGTCGCAGTTCTCACATCTCAGAACGTCGCTGCGGCTTGGGCATTTGGTAAGATGATCCAAGACCATCATTGATTTGTGTTTTGCAATTGGGAGGGGGGAGGTGGGGGGGCGATGTGGTGTTAATGGTGTTAGGGATGGTGGTGAGGTGGTGGATACGGATTCAGATTCTGATCTCGTTGCGATTGTGATGGTGTTGGTGGTAGTGGCGATGACGACGGCTACGGCTACAGATTCAGAACTCACTATAGTTGATGGTAGAGTGTGATGCTGGAGGTGGTGTAGGATGCTGGCGGTTTTAGCGTGTTTGGGTGGCAGTTGTGGTGGTTTCGATCGGGTAGAGGCTGTGGTTTTTGTTGTCGGCGTTGATAGTGGAACTGGCGATTGCGGTGATTTTTGTTGGATTTAGTGGTGGTGGATCTAGCGGTGATAGTGATAGTTTTGTAGTTGAAAATGATGGTTGACAGGTGGTGGTGGTTCGAAGGCGAAGGTGGCGAAGGTGGACGGTACAGTCGTGGCGATGGTGGTTAGATGGTGTGACAGTGACTGGGCTCTGGATTTTCATTTTGGGGTGAGGTGGTGTGGGGCGTGGTGGGAGGTAGACAGGGGGTAGTCTGTGACCAAATGTTGGTAATCTGTGACCAAATGTTTGGTAATTTGTGACAAATTACTCAACTGTGACCTAAAAATTTAATAATACGTGACTTAAAAATAATCTGTGACTAACTAATTTAAAAATCTTTGACCTCGAAATAATCGGATATGTGACCTTGAAATAATCTGGGATAAAAAAATTTGACGATATGTGACCAGTAAATAAATCTGTAACTTAAAATTATGAATATATGACAATTAATCACAAAAAGTGACTTTATTATCTTTATTTAATAAATATTATAATTAATTAAATAAATACCTGATTTTTGAATTTTTAAATTATTAATAATGAATAAGTGACCATTAATCACAAAATGTTACTTTATTATCTTTATTTAATAAATATTTTCAATTAATTAAAATCATACTTGATTTTTGAATTTTCAAACTATTTACCTTTTGAATTGTGGTAAAGAATACACCTTAGATATGATTTTTTCCCTTTTTTTTTTTTTGCTACTTTCTGATGTGGAATATTACATTGTTCGACCCAACTGTTTTACCGAGTTGAAAGTTCTTCCTCAACTTACAAAAAGGAATAAAACGGTCCCCAACATTTCATAATACCTGCAATATTGGTGTTTAAATGATAACGACATAGAAATTGGGGATAATTGTAGCTACACCTTTGAACATTTCAAAACATTGTAGATTTTTTTCTAACATCTCATTTGTTGCACTCATCGCAAACCTTTCAAATGTATGCGTCTGAAGTCCAAATGGATGAAACCCGTTTAGTATTTGTCAGTTGACTAAGAAAATTAAAATTTCACATTTTTTACCAATGTAGGAGAGGGTAAAACTGTCTCTTCGAGACCTTTTTGGATGTTAGTATTCTAGTTCAAGAGATGTTATATTTTGAAAGTTATAAAAATCCCTATCTTTTATTCAGGCTTGAAACTGGCTACAAAATATGTAGTCGGAATTAAAATTGTATACGAGGTAATATTTCGTGTAAAAATTTTGTTAAAAAAGTGAAAGTGAACAAATAAAATAAATATAACATTCTTACCTCACTACCTTCCTCGTATGCAATTGCATAATATTAAATCTTCTTGAATGCACCTTTTGCTACCCAATAGAGAACACATACATGCAGGGGCGGAGGCCCATTAAGTCCAGTGCAGGCAAATGCCCGCACTGAACTTTTGGGCCAATTTTTTTTTATTGGGCCAAAAATTTATTTTTTATTTAACCCACATCCTAGCCCAAAACACCCAAGCCCAATACCTTCTTCTTCTTCTTCTATCAGTTCGAATTAGGGCAAATCGCCAGTTCGCCCTCGCCCCTTGCCAGTTCGCCCTCGCGAGTTCCAACTTCCAATAGCTCATCTTCGTTGTCCCTTAGCCCATTCCCGCTTTGCCCTTCGCCCGTTTCCCTCTTCGCCCTTCGTTCGTCCTTCGTTCACCCACAGCCCGTTCCCGCTTCAAGCTTTGCTCCGCCCCTGTTCGAGCCTCGAGGTTTGAGCCAGGACTGTCCGTTGGTCAGTTCGGTTCGGTTTTGAAGAGACCCGAACCGACCCAAAACTTTCGGGTATTTAAGAAATGGACCCGTCGGGTCCAAATATAATTATGGAACCGTTCGAGTTCGGTTCCGTACGGTTTGGTTCGGGTCGGTTCCGTTCCGTTCCGTTCGGTTTCGTACCATAATCAAATTTTTTAATATTTACAACAACACTACATAAATACAACTAATGACATTTCATTCGTAACTTTTACAAATTAACGTAGCTCAATTCAAAAACATATAAATAACTGGCCGTCCAATAAGATTAATTCAATGCATACAAATACCAAAAAGTAGATATTAATATTACAGCAAAACTATATAAATTATATTCATTTACTTCAAATTAAAATGGACTAATGAGCTTTAAAAATGATTTGGGATTTAAAATTAAAATTATGAAATAATCTGATTTATTTAATTAATTTGCTAATTTGTATAAAAAAATAAAATAATTTAATTAATTCAATATAAAAATTAAAAAAATTATTTAGTTTCGGTTCTTCGGTTCTTGGTATAGAGCCGAGACCCGACCCAAATCGATCGGTTCTCGATTCGGGTACCCGTTCAGGTATTTAATTTATGAAGAACCGCTCGGTTCGGTTCGGGTTCGGTTCAGTCCGGTTTGGAACTTTTGGACACCCCTAGTTTGAGCTGCAGCAGAAGAAGAAGTGAAGAACTGAAGAAGAAGGGTGCTGCTGGCCTGCTGGTAATAATTTTTTCCCTCCTCTGCCCCTGCTGCCTGCTGGTAATAATTGTTCGTTTTGTTGATGTTCAATTGCTGGATTTTGATGTTCAATTGCTGGACTTTGATGTTCAATTAGGATTTCATTTTGTATAATCCTCTGCCCTGTCCCTGCTGGTAAATTGGTAATCGAGGTTTGGCTTGCATCTTGCTGGACGCTGGTTGCTCCCTCGGTCCCTCATTTGGCCCTTTGCCTGTGTGAGGTGAGTGTGAGTTATTTGAATTCGTAACTAGAAATTGAAATCACGTATTACACTGTGAATTGAGTATACTATTGCCCTGGAAAATGAAATTTGAATAAATGAATTGCTAATAGTGATGCTATTAACTACGTGAATAGAATTGTCCTCTGAATTGCCCAGTAGTAATTGTCTAATTGAATATGAAATGTTTAAATTCAGATATCAAATGAAGAGATACTTTGAAAGAAAAACGAATGTAGAAAATGTTGATGAGAGAATATTGAATAATGTGGAATTTAATGTCTCAAAACTTCCAATTGATCCTGGACTAAGGATACCCATATTGGATTACAATCAGAACATTCGAGATGAAGTTCGAAGAGCATATTTGCTAAAGGGTCCTTGTCAACCCCAAGATCACGACTTTCCAAAACGACAATTTGGAGTAACCGCTAGGCGGTTCCATTCTTCTTGGTTTAAAGAGTTCGGTACTTGGTTGGAGTATAGTGTAGAGAAGGATGCTGCTTATTGTTTGTATTGTTGTCTTTTCAGAACAAGTTCTGGAAAGCAAGGTGGAGGTGAGTCTTTTGTTGGTGAAGGTTTTACATATTGGAAAGATAAAAAAAGACTTCACACTCATGTTGGAGTTCATGACAGTGCACATAATCAAGCTCGCATGAAGTGCGAAAATCTGATGAATCAAGAGCAACACATTCAATCAACTTTGCACAAACAGTCAGAACAAGTAAGAAGTGCATATGTTACACGTCTTAATGCGTCTATTGATTGTGTTCGAATTCTATTGCGACAAGGGCATTCATTTCGGGGTCATGATGAATCTATGGATTCTCTCAATCCTGGTAATTTCTTAGTTCTATTGCAATTTTTGGCTGCTCATAATGAAGATATAAATGCCGTCACATTGGGGAATGCACCTCAAAATTGCAAATTGACATTACCTGATGTTCAAAAGGATATAGTAAGTGCTTGTGCTGTTGAAACAATCAATGTCATTATCAAAGATGTTGGCAATTCACTATTTTCTATTCTAGTTGATGAATCTCGTGATGTGTCAATGAAGGAGCAAATGTCAATTGTATTACGTTATGTAGACATAAGTGGACAAGTGAATGAACGTTTCATTGGGATTGAACACGTTACAAGTACAACGGCTCTATCACTTAAAGCTGGAATTGATAAGGTCTTCTCCAGATATAACTTGAGCATGTCTAGATTGAGAGGACAGGGTTATGATGGGGCAAGTAATATGCAAGGGAAGTTTAATGGTCTGAAAGCACTCATTTTGAAGGAAAATTCATGTGTTTA